GTTAGGGTGAGGGGTGCTCACTACGTCACATGATGTAGGGTCTCAAACCTGGGCTGTCGGCTTTCAAGCTGACAAGCCCAGCATCTTAACTGCTGACACATCGCACATACATACATGCAGGCATATATACATAAAATTGTGCCATCAGTGTGTTTAATGCCATAGGTAATAATGTATAAATCACCCATATGAGCTGATACGTAACATATTTTTAAAATGTTGAAGGGATTCAAATAAATATATACTATAATGGAGACATTGCTTGAAAATCTGTTAATTGCTTGAAGTTCGAAGGAAAATTATAGAAGAATTCAGGTGTTTTTTTTAAAAAAAAGAATTAATAAATTGGACTATATCTAGAGTTAAGCTTACATAGTTGGTTAACAATAGTGGAGTTTCATCCTCCCTGTACTTGTATTTCAGTCTTCCTATAAAAGAGGATCACAGTTCCTACTGAATGGGATAGGCCAGTGATGGCTAACTTTTACCACATTGCGTGCCGAAATGCAGTGCGCGCGTGACCCCCCACTCCCACCCCTGCACATGTGTGCGCAACCCCCCTGTGCTCTGTGCATGTGTGTGCAACCACGCACCCCACCCCCTGCGCATGCGCACACATCTCCCCCTGCAGATATGCAGCAGATACCCGACAATCAGCTGGCGGGAGCGCATGCATGCGCAGTGGGGCTCTTCCAAGCGACCTCTCGCGTGCCTGTAGAAATGGCTCTATATGCCACTTCTGGCACGCGTGCCATCGGTTCGCCATCACGGGGATAGGCTAGTTCAGGAGAAAGGGGATCTCATATTGAGCCTAGAGGTATATTAGCGATGCACTACCCCATTCAATAGGATCTGCTAGCATTCTCTTCAGGAAAAATTAGTGAATGAAAAATGAAAAGGATTTTTTTTTCAGCAGCCTTGTTGTCTCCAACGCACTGTTCTTGTTCTTTGCTGTATTGTACAATAATTCTGTTTTGTTGAACTCTGGTAGTGTTTGCGCAAATGGGGATACAGAAGATGTGAAGATATATGTTGGATTAAAACAAATAAAAATAATCCTGGGAAGACCAAGACTCTGGATCCCAAAGCTGTTTTTCAAAGAACAAAGGTACATCTTTGAATTTCTTTTTGTCTTCTCCCTGCGTTATGACAGTAGATGCTTTTTAAATGCTCTGTTGCTGTTGATGGTAATTTTAGTTTTATGAAAATACTTGCAGAACAAATGGGCTTCACTTACTACTTGTGTTTACAAGTGAGAGATACAATACGGTATTGAACTTCTGTCTACAACATAAAACTCTGGAACATTAATTCTGGGAAACACCTGACTCACTTATTTTACTGAAATGCAAATCAAAGTATCATGGAAAAATTCAGGCTTTTTTTCAGCTTTCAGAGAGATGATGGAAGAGCTGTAGAATATCTTTTATAGGGTTTTTTTTTTTGCTGAACAGTTGCTGTAGTTAGGAGTTCAACATGATTAGCTGTCGTTTTGTTCTATATTGAGATATAAATTAAATGGAGGCAAGGGAGAATTCTTCTGATTTTCTCTAGAATAGTTTGGGGCTGTGTTAACTTCTTTCCGGTATTCAGTACTTCAGCAATATTTGAACCCTTGCCTATTGCTTTGGCAACTATACTTATTGCTAGACCGATTATTTTGTAAGAAGAGCAGATTTTGAGATATTTCTATGTTTGACAGAAATTCATGAAATCTTCCTCACTCTTTATCTTATCATGGACCATAAAATAAATACTGATAGTCCTTGACATTTGTTTAGCAAATTTTTGAAGTTACAACAGTGCTGAAAAAAGTGACTTCTTATTGGTCCTCACGTGTGCACACTTTCGTAGTCACATGATCAGCATGAGTGCAAACCAGCTCTACCCCACCCCCAGGTAACTGTAGACTTCCCACCTAGAGGCCTCTTATACAATTGCATCCCAATATGATCTTTAAAAAGAAGATATAAAATGTCATTGTCTGTTTCTTTTCTTTCTTTTTTGGGGTGGAGAGTGGATGTTAAAACCAGTTTGTTCGAACTGCATGTTGTATCCATGTTGTATGATACTTCTGGGGATATTTTAGACTTCGAATGTTTACTTAAATTGTGATTTATGACTATATACAAGGAATATGCAGAGCTTAGAAAATAGTTTATAAAAAAGAGTTTCATAGAGTTGTTAAGAGATAATATATACTATGCTGAAATTTATGTGGACACATACACACACACAAAATGCTGAGTATGGGTTGAGCAGTATAATGGGTTGACACAGATGTGAGTAATTTGATCGATAACATGTATCATATGATTTAATTCTATTCAGAGCAGTAATTTGGGCAGTAAAACAAGCATTACTTTGGGTCAATCATTCTCTTCTAACCCACCACGTAGGTTTGTTGTTGTTGGGGGGAAATGTAGGAATGCTGTTGAGCTAAATTACATTGATATACATATTTTGATATACATATTACATACATATTTTGCCCTTTCTCCAAAGCAAAGGCAAAATATGTATCTTATGGTATCAATGTAATATAGTATTAATTGTAGACTTCTTTCTTACCTTGCAGTGTGGCTTTACTGATTTTAGAGCAAATATTTTTATTTCAGAACATTTTTAATGAATTGCATAACGGAACTTACAAAAAAGTCACATTCTCTTTTAATTTCCCCCATCTCTCCCATCATTTTTATATACTTTTGATATAAAAGAAAAAAATGTTTTTGTTTTCTCTTTAGGAACATTGCCTTATGGGCATTAAAGGAACTGTCCGCCGTAGTACAGATGGGGATTTTATCCATGCTAACGTTGACATTGATTTAATTATCACAGAAGAGCCAGAAATTGGTAACATAGAAAAACCTGTGGAAATATTTCATATTATTGAACATTTTTGTCTTGGAAGAAGGCGGCTTCATCTTTTTGGACGTGATAGCACCATTCGTCCAGGTTATTCTCAGGCTTGTTTTGTACTATATCATTTCAAAAACTTTACAGTAAATATGAAAATTTCATAACATTAATTTGTGTGCTTTAGAAAAATGTAGATTTTAAAGGAGTAGTTATGGCTTTCAGTGCAGTATAGTGGTCCCATTGAGCATAAAGGACAACTTTACCAAGCCTATTTTCTTACTAAATGACTGTAGATATAATGAGAACGTATGCATTCAGCATACAGGCACAAATGGTTGGGTTTTGTTTTGTTTTTTGCTCAGAATGGTTGCTGTGTGTTCCAAACGTTCTAGAATTTTGCTCTATCCTCCACTGTGTCATTTTATATAGTAGCAGTTCAAGCATTCCAATCATAAAATTCATCCTTGAAACTAGCCACCCCAGAGCTGTTTCATTCAGAACTCGAAACAAAATTAATTTCCCATTTGTATATTACAGTATTTAGATGTTAAGGCAGAAATATGGGTATGAAACTGACATCTAAGGAAATAAACATAAAAGGCAGAAATAAATGTATCACTTCTGGGTATGATACCTGACTTTCAATAATTTTATTAATAATTGAGAGTGATTATTCTCCTATGTGTTTTTAAAAGCTAAAGAGGCAAATGTCTCATATCATTGAAATAGTCCTAATGGATTAATTTTAAGCGTCTATAATTTCCAAAAATGACATTCAGCTACATCATGTAGAGTTTTATTAATAATTCTACCTGCTCTTATTTTATGGGAATAGTTGCTTGTGCTTCTACTTTGACAATACGAATTATGCCAAATTTAAGTAGTATTAAAAGAACCAATCAGGAAATGATTAAGGGGTACAATTTTATATGCAGCTCACGTTTCCCTTTTGTTCCCTTCCCTCCCTTTAGGCTGGTTAACTGTTGGACCCACACTCACAAATAGTAACTTCAATGCAGAAACATATACATCCTATTTCACAGCTCCCAACTCCCACCTGACTGGCTGTACAGAAGAGATTGAGAGACTCAGACCAAAATCACCACCACCAAAAGATCGAGGTGGTGGTGCACCAAGGGGTGGAGGAAGAGGCGGGACTTCCGCTGGTCGTGGAGAAAGAGGCAGAGAGAGAAACCGAACTAATTTCAGGGGGGAAAGAGGTGGATTCAGAGGGGGACGGGGAGGTACTCACCGGGGTGGCTTTCCCCCTCGCTGAGCAATGAGAATCTTCCATCTTTTTGCCTGCCTTTATCCTACTGAGTTTTTGTTTAAAAAATACAGTCTTAGTTCTCCAGTTACCTTTATTGGCAGCTCACTCTAGGATCTGCTCACCAAAATATTTTTGTACCTATTATGAACCAGTCTTGTACAATAATCCAGATCTTACAATAAAGCACATTTACAATTGAATTCTCTGAACTTGGTTGTTTTGTTGCAGTCGTTTTATTACCTCACTGGTAGCATGAGTCTTTTTTTCTATCAAGCACATTTACTATCAAAATTGACTTTGCACATGATAGCTTTAGCTTTAATTTTAAGAAATCATATTTTTTTATTTTTCAATATTGTGGATTTTTTTTTTTTAAAAAAAAACTTTTAATATCATTCTAGGACACCTTTATAGGACAAATATTGCTCTTTCTGTTACTTTTCAGGCAACTGAATTATATTACAACTTAGGTTCCAATAATAGAAAATTAGTGCTCTTATTAAGAGAAATCTCAAATATATATATTAGTCTCATAGTAATCTTCCAAAAACACAAAAAATGCAAACACACACGTATGTATGTATGTATGTATGTATGTACGTGTGTATGTACGTATAAAACAACATTAAGTAAATCAGATCAATTTCAGTAATATGTTATTAACAGAACATAGGTTTTTTTTTAAAAAAAGGGTTTAAGTAAAGTACTTTTGTTTTGAAATGGACATTATACTGGCTTAATATAGTATGAACCCATCCATTAATACCCAGATTATGTGATTCCCAATATGACAGTGTAAAACCTGAAAAAAATAGATAATGGTCTAATAATTCTAAAGCCATTAAAAGAGTTACATATAAATGTGTGGTTTTAGTCAAATAAAGAACTTTTATTTTAGGAATAAAATTAACAATAGTATCCTTCAAGTAATAGTACATTTTCCAGGTCTGGGAAGTTAGTATGTTGAACAGGTTTAAATGTTTAAATGTTAATTTACTCCAGTAATTATTCTTTAGGTAAACTGCAGTAATAGCAATTTCTACTTTGCTTTTTGCAAGGCATTAAATTTTGCTATGGCCTGTACAAAACTATCTCAAATTCCTTAATACTGTCTCATAGAGAAAGTGTTATAATTCAGTTGTTTTCATGTACAATAACAGGAGTTTGGAGTATGTTAAACAAACCTTTGGTGGAGAAGCCATGTGAATATATTGAGATTGCTTCTGGACATGGTCAACACAAAATAGTTTCGTCCTAAATACAAATTGCATGTAAAAGAATTACCCCCCCCCCCCCCCCCAATTGAGTTCATTACACATTTTCCTTATTAAACCCAAGAAATAATTAGTTTTTAAAATATTTACAAAATGAACATATGATTGGGAGGCACAGATGGGCCAATTATATCTAGAGAGCCACAATCTCCAGTGGCCCCAGTTTGGATGTTTTGCTGGGGCTGAATAGTCTTCTAGCTGTGTGACAGTACCACAGTATGCAAAATAATAAAAAGCACAATAACATTAAATTAAACGTAAGCTAGGAGAGAAAAAGTTATTAAGTCAAAATGTACAATAAAAAGGATTGGAAATTATATGAGTAATACAAATCATATATAACGGGGCTTAATGCTTTGTAGTTTATTAAAATGTGTGAAGTGAGAATTGCATGTTTTACACAGATTCCAGGATTTCAAACCTTGCCATTAGAAAACTTCCTTTTAAAGAAGGATAAAGGCTCTCCCATAGGAGTTATACCTGAGCAAATATTTGCCTAGTTTACATAATTATAGATGGCTACATTATTATGAAACAAAGCACTAATCTACAAAATTAGAAACTGTACAATAAGGTAGCAATATAAAGCACCTTGTGATGGTGGTTGGCCATTCTTGAATAGGTTCTGAACAAATGCACAGAGAACAAAGTTAAAATCCATTAGTTGAGAAGTTGACATATTTCTTTATGAACACAACATAAGAAGTCCACATAAGAAGCTCCTCCGTAGATGTTCTTGTCTTCAATCAAAAACTGCTTGAAAACCATCTCTATTTGTTCTCGTTGCTTCACAATCAGAATCTTTAAAAAAAATGGTTTAAGAATGAATGAAATGTACAAATGCTGCTTTGAGTCTTATTTCTCAGCTTAATTAAAGAGCAAAAAATGTTTAAGGTTATATTAAAATGTTTTCAAAGAAGGGTAAAATTAGGCAATCATAAGAGTAACTTTTTAAGTAATCTTTTACCTTCATGGAATAAGGTGTTCTACTTTGGAGCTGATCTATTATAGACCTCAGTTTTGAAGAGTAGGGATTATCCAGTTCTGGAAGACGTAACTATAGGTAATGAATAAATACACATACAGAATTAGCACACATGAAAATTGCTATTTTGGAAAAACAAAGATTGTGTACCATGGATTTGAAAGGCTAAAAGTTGCTGACTTGTACAATGAAAAGAGCAAATTATTTGCTACAGAAAAAAAATTCCTTAAAATTCTCTGTGAATGTAATTTCATTGACAAATTCATCAAGATTATTGATAAATATTGTATTCATGATCAAAGATGAGATAAATTACAAGGAAGATTTGGAAGCTAAAATAGAATTTCATCAAAACAACTATTCAATGGTCTTATTGAACCACCATAAGAAATGATAATTGAAAAGTACTGTATTTAGCAAATCTGGAGGTAATCTAGGACCTATGGTTAATAGGACAATATTCACATACAATTTGACACAGCCATTAATAAAGGCATCATTAAAAGACCAGATTAAAAGGCAAATATAAGCCAGTTAACAAACAGAAGCAAATTCAGTGGAAAGCTACCAAGATAATGAAGGAACTGGAAACCAATTCCTATGAGCATTGTTAAAGAGTTGTTTATCCTGCAGATAAGAAGACTAAGAGAAGATATGATAGCGATCTTCAGATATCTAAAGAGTCACATAGAGAACTGAATGGCTTTGTTCCCTTTGCCTAGGATGCAACTGTTTGAAATATACAGGGAATTTGTTTCAGGTTAGCCATAAGCAATTTCCTCACATTAATAGATGTCAACCAGTGAGATAAATATGAAATGATATACTTCCCTTTGCTGGAATATTCAGAGGTTGGATACTATCTGTCTTCTAGATTCTAGAATGTTTCAACAGTTCTTGCAATAAGAAGGTGATAGGACTAGGCAATCTTTGAGGTGCCTTGCAACCCTTATGATGGAATGATATACCATATTTTTCAGTGTATAAGATGCACTCCCCCCCAAAAAAAGTGGGTGGAACTGTTTGTGTGTCTTACACAGCAAATGTTGATGCCCCGCCCACCCACCGACCCCCACCTTTTGGCCTCTGCCTCCCAGCAATTTGCCTCTTTGCAGCAAACAGCCACCAGCCTGGACAGCTTCAGGACAGATTAGCACAAGCAGCTGATTGTCGGTTGGACCGGCCTCCCAACAATCAGCTGTTTCAGGCTGCAGAGATCGCCATTGCCTATTGCCGCCTCTGTGCCCCCCATTTTTGGACTCTGCATCCCGTTTCCAGCCTCCGCAAGCCCCATTTTCAGCCTCCACACACCCCATTTTCGACCCATTTGGGGCAGCAAGGATCAGAACGGGAAGAAAATGGGGCACATGGAGGTTGAAAATGGGGCATGCGGAAGTAGCAATAGGCAATGGCGATCCCTACAGCCTGAAACAGCTGATCGTCGGGAGGCTGATCCAACCGACAATCAGCAGCTTATGCTAATCAGGCTGTCCTGAAGCTGACCAGGCTGTTGGCTGCAAGGAGGCAAATTGCTGGGAGGCAGAGGCAGATTTTTTTTTTCTTGTTTTCCTCCCCAAAAGCTAGGTGTGTCTTATACTTTGGAGCCTCTTATACTCTGAAAAATACTGTAAATCCAACTCACTGTACTTTAAATTTGTGTGCTTCATTCTGAAAACTTGCCTATACATTAATCAGTCCTGGCATATTGCATCTTAGCAATTCAGACTGGTTTCAGGGAGAAGGTAGTAGAGGCATTGTTTTGGGAAATCAATAGTCTTGTGAAATAACCTAGGTATAGAAAACTACCCACTTTTTCTGTGTCTGTTCCTACACATCTGCATTCTCATCTTTATAAAGGAGCAATGATGTCAAGGCTGCATTGTTCGTATCATATCATCTGACACTTGCAATGCAGTTTGGAAATGAAGAATTAATAAGCAAGCATTCAGCAGCTCTTTCTCAAATACATAACACTATACTCACAGCCTCAGTGCTGACATGTGCAAAGGAAGGCACATTAAATATCCCTTGGATAAGCTCTGGTGGGGCACTGACTCCAAGCCATAGAAACATATGTAGAGAATTGGCCAATAGGAATACTCCTCCTTCAGAGAGACGTTCTTCTGAGCAGCGAACGGCAGGAGGAATTGTATCTTTATTTACATCCATAGAATGCTGTGGGATGAAATTTAAGTTCTTAAATTCATTGCATTTTTTTAAAAATAAAAATCCAAATAACTATGAGAGTAAATTTGATGTAGTGATTTAAAACACGAGGGTCAAAAGTGGGAAACCGTGAGTTTTAATCCTGCAGGCTGGATGCCGTTAGGCCAGTTACTATCTCTCAGCCCTAGGAAGCAGGCAATGGCATACCAATGACATTGTATGGACTTGTCCAGATAGTTGCCAGCAACCTGAAGCCAACTGTACACATAAAAACCACATAATTAATACTGTGATTAGTCTTGGAATAGGCAATCTTGTATTGGTATGTAGGAAAAATACTGAGAGACAGAGCAATGAGACACAACCAAAGGAGGGTTGAGAAGATCAGCAGCAGCCCACAGACTATACTGAGATTAACAGATTAAGATTAACATAAAATACTGAACAATTAACAGCTTTATTAACTCTTTATACCTTTTAACCTTTCTAAATTTATATTTAACCTTTTCTGAAATATACATACATACATACATACATACATACATACATTCTTATGTTTTCGTGGTTATTTATATGTATGGCATTCAGCTTTGTTCAGGTATTTTCCCACGTCTTTATAGCTGTGCTTTTAAAGTTGTAGCGACGTTTCAGCAGAACATATGCTTTTTTTGCTGGTCAGGACAAATAGAATTCATTGAATACAACTTTCCTTTTCCTAATAAGCTTCGATACATAGATTCTGAATCAATCAAATCATGAGTGTAAATCTATGAATTTAGGAGACTATTCCTACATTGGCAACTCTACATATTATGCGGTATATATAAAGAATAATGATTTAGGCACAAAAATGAGTGCAATATTCTTAAGATTAATAAATTTTGCAAAATAATTTATTTTTGGGTGAAAATCTACCTGCAATTATCAGGTTTATGCAAGGGAACAAATTGTAAAAGTTGCTCTGATTTTTCTCTGCTCAACAATACCGGACAATACTACACAACTGTCTGTTTTTGCCACTGGAAGGGGGTGAGAGGGTCACCAACTACTTGCTTATTGACAATAGCTACAAGTGATCCAGAGGAATTTGTCATTGAGCAACATGAACTGTGCTTCCTCAGTGCCATGACACTATCATACTTATATTGGCTTTTTACAATCTCTGGGAGCTGAAGAAATTATAATGATAGAACCACTAGCTCAGACAAATGGACTGACCAGCATCTGCAAGACTATGCTAGAGATAGCCTTGTGCCTTAACCTACTGTACCATATTCTCCATGTCGCAACAACTGCCCTGTGATATTGCCCAATATCTGCTGATAGCAAAACACTTACAATTGGCAAAAGCTGTGGGTAGAATAAAAGTTGGGTGCTAGCAACATCCATTGACATGACCAGCTGTCTATGAAAAGTTCTTTCATCCGTGGGAATCTCTGACTTGCCCAACAGCACACAGCTTTTCAGAAGGCTATTCATGTAGACAGGAAGTACCTTCATTGAATCAGGGAGAATAAGCTGAAAAAGAAGAAAAGGCATCAGCTAAAATGTCTTGTCGTTCATGTACTCCAAGTTTTCTCCAGCAGAATTTGCATCTGATTAGTCCCACAATCAACTGCTTTTGTCTGATAGACTTTTATAAACAAATATTAGTTTAATTTAAATGGTTTCCTGTCTTCAAATGTCACAACTCTGTTTATATTTCAATCCATAAATCAGTGTTATGAGAAAAAGTATATTCAACAATTAAAATAAAACAAATATGAAATATATTCAACTTCTGAATTTTTCTCCCTGCCTAAACATTCTTATTTTGTACCTATAATATAAAGGTGAAATCTGTTTTTTTGTATCATATACACACATTACAAATCGGGGATCACATGACTTGGGACTTAATTAATCCAGCCTGCCCAATTATAACTGCTCTTATGATCGGATCTTAGTAATTAGAAAAGGATAAATTTATCAAGTGATTTGAGTCTGAACAAAAGTGTCCGAATTTTTGAAAGTTGTACTTTTTTAAAAATACAGAAATATAAATTCAAAATTGCAGTTCAGTTATAGGACAATAAAATATGTTTCCTTTTATGAAAGAACATTCTGTTAGCTATATACCATACAAAGCAAAAATTGTTCTGAGATTTATATACAAAATTGCATGTAGTTAAAAACCGTATTGCATTATTTATAGCACAATGACATTTAGGGATTATCTTATCCTGCACATACAGAGATGCCAAGACTGTTGAAGGCCAAGATTTTAAGCAAGCAGTTGCTACAAAATCCAATGAAAATGCAGCATTACTATGTAGCACATATGGGAATGATAAATACGTTAAATCTTTCCTCATAGTCAGCCTGGGCTAATACTGACCATAAAAGGTGCTAGCTAAAGATGAAAAATAAAGGGTTAATGCTGAATTCTTCGCTGTGCTTCTTCACTGAATAATTAGGCTTTAGGCAAGTGCTATTTTTGTATTGTGGTTTTATATTTTTATATTGCATAATTTACAGTCCTGGCCACAAAATAATTGTGCAAAAATATGAGTGAAGAAGGGTGTTTATTTCAGATTGCAATTTATGTCTTTGTAAGCTTATTAAAAATCAGCATAAGAAAACATGTTAACTTAAATCAGCTAACATTTGGAGGAAACAAAGCACAAAATATTATAATCTTGACTTGGATTCTAAATATTTTGTTCTTTGAATTGAAAAAAAAAATCCATGGAGCACAAACCATCCATATTCACTAGTTTAAAATCAATAACTGGAATAGTGCCATGAGAAATTTTTATATTACAGTTTTATCTGGCTGTGTCTACACTGAGAAAGTCTGTATTGTCTTCAGCTTGCTGCTTTATTTAACCATCCATCCATCCACCCAACCATCCATCCATCCAATTTCTAAGCCACTCAACAGAAAAATATACTATTCAGATAATTCTCAGGTTACAACAATTGGGACCCACATTTCTGTCATTAAGCAACACTTTTTGATATTATATAGAATACAACATAATATGACTGCATTGCATTGTAATGTCAATCTCTGTAATCGCTATTGCCTTTGTGAACTGGGAAGGGGATACAACTTTCCCTGCTGGTTTTCCTATTGACCTTGCCAGAAAGCTGGCAGAGAAGATTGCCATTTACAATCACATGACCACAGTACACTGCAATCATTGTAACTGTGAACCAATTGCCAAGCATCCAGAACTCCATCACGTGACTACTGGGGTTGCTGGGATGGCTGGAACTTTGAGGACCAGTAGTTGTAACTTCAAACCGTTGCTGTATAAGTAGTCATTAACTGATGACCTCAACTTAGAATGGGCAACCAGACAACATGCCCAAAAAGTCCAGGAAAAACCCCATATTACACACTACTTTCAAATGGGGGAATGTTATTGTTAGCCTAAGTCCCAAAAGGGACATAACAATCCAGCCCAGATTCAGTTCTTTATTTGCTTACACCACGTAGATTGAAACTTGCCAGACTACACCTATGCTATCCTAAATGAAAGGATAATCTAGAGCAGGGATGTTAAACTCAATTTTATCGAGGGCCACATCAGGACTGTGGTTGATCTTGGGAGGGCTGGAGGGCATGGCCAACTGAGTGGGTATGGCCAGCTGGGTGAGTGGGCATGGCTAGCTTGATGCTACTCCCCAAACTGCTGGCATGTTTCCTCTTTGCATTGGGTAGACCAGGCCGAAGCCACACTGCCCCAATATTTCTTCTTCGCATTGGATAGACTGGGCTAAAGTCACGCTGGCCCAATGTTTTCTCTTCACATTGGGTAGACCAGGCTGAAGTGACACGAGCTAGCCCCATACATTTTCCAGGATGGTTCTGTGGGCTGGATCCAACCACATCCGGCCCATGAGCCCTGAATTTGACACCCCTGATCTAGAGGGTGGTTATGCTAAATCTCTCTTTCTTCACAATTCAGCTCTGGATTGTGCTGTCTCTTATCTCAAACCCCACCCCCTCCTAGGAATGTACTCCCTTCTTCCTGTTATTACTAGAGTTCATCACATTGCTTCCTTCTTCCAACATAGCTATCCCATTTAAGACCAAAGATGGAAAATCCCAGAACTAAGAGATCCAAGGATATGCTAATACTTGGTCTTGCTAGAGTTAAGCCTGATTTTCTCGCATCCAGACCCCAACAGCCTCTCTATTTGCTGAGACAAGACTTGACAGCATTATTTTGAAAATTTAGCACCATATTCTTGAAATAAATTTATATTCTATAATGGACTTCTGCAGCATATCAGATTTCAGTCTCTAAACTCATTTAACTGTAGGGAGTGGGGCAGAAGGCTCACTAATGTTCACAAGCACCTAGTCTACTTAAGGGAAAAATAAAACTTGCATATGGAAATGCAATATTTCTGATCCTGATATCAGATAATTTTTGCTTACGTGTTAAAATAATACCCAAATAATGCCCAAATAAAACTTCTATGGCTGGAAACATGAAATACCTGGCTCACTGCAGATGGACTAGCACAGTTCTTTCTGTAACATGCCAACATGCGAGCTGTTTGATTCACCAGGATCTCACGAACAGTCTTCAAGGGCTGGCTGAGAATGGCTTTATAAGCTATCATTATATAAAGAAGTGATAAAATATGTTATGTTAAACATTATACCTTTTCACAGAAGAAAAAAATTCAGACTTCAGATATTTGAAAAAGTTTCATCTAATCTACTCTTTCTAAACAGAGTATAAAACTTCGTATATTAGGATTAAATTAATAAACTGTGACAAAATTATACACCTGGCATATATGGTCAACCTCAACAAAAATGGCCTATACTTTTGCTCCAATGCTATAATAGTGGCTTAACAATAGTGCTCTATTAATATTACTATGATACACAGAAATACTGAAGTATGAACTTATGATTTATCCAGGAACTTAAATTAGATATATGAAAAGCATTCAGCAACTATTGCCAATTTACATCACTGTCTTGTGCCAATTTCTTATATATCTATGACAGGAATTGGTTATTTCTGATTTTTAATACATGTGTTTTATCAGATTTTAAATGTCCAGCATCACTTTCCAGCCTCCCTCCCCACTCCCAAAACACATATTATATGCTGACCTGATTTTGCAAAGAAATTTACTAGTGCATCAGTCTCACAGCTCTTGTAGATATCAGCTAACTGGGAACTACAACTGAGTCCAATGTTATGTATGCGCAGTCTTCTTTGACCATTCATGGATGTGTAAAGGACTGCACACTGCAATGACAAAATCAAGATGATAGATAAGTTAAAATGGTTAAGTTATTTGCATTTTCTACAAAGGTATTTCAACTTGTTTTTAAAACAGTAACTTGGGACACTGACTCAAAAGATTTATTTATTTATTATGTTTATTTATGCAGCCACCTATCTCACCATTACAACTTTGAATGGCACACACAGGGTTTAGACCTGGGTTGGCACTGTAACAGAGTAAGATGTGAAATATTACAAGTTGAAAAATTCAGGTAGAGTTTTACTCTTTTCTTTTGAATATGAGTCCAGATGAACCAAAACGTAGTAACACATTATAATGAATTGGACCAAGGACCATTTTAAGCCAGCAATGCTAAACTGACTTCCAAGGTACTTCACAGAGCTCCTCCCTACCCCTATAATTTGACATGCCAGGGACTTAACTATTTTCTTCTTCACATGTACTTTATACTCAAAATTACATAACTAAAGCCTATGAATTGTAATATTTGTTCATTGATTTTTTTTGTCATGTAATAGTTTTCCTAGACTTAGAAAATTAAATGTCTCTTTAAAAATTATTATAGATTTTTCATGACTTTCACTTTCATTTAGTGTACCTGTGCCCTTTATTCTGAAGAAAGACACTAATAACTTTGGTATGTTGGAGCTTCAAATATGGGCATACTTTACTAAGGAATGGGGCTTTCTTTGCCAAGAATCACTGTTTACCACGCTTACATGAAGATTTCTGATATTTCAAGGTATGTGAATAATTGTAATTGTAGCAAAATGTTGACATAACTTTGGAAATCGCTTATAACTGGCAGGAAAAAAGGAATGCAGTCTTGACAAATAAGTCTTCACTACAAATGAAGGTTTACATGTTACCTATATTTTAAAGTAAAGGATGTCTTTATCACTTCTAAGATCAAAAAGCACATAAACCATAATTATAACAAATCAGGATGTATAAAAGGCCCACCTACATTTGCTTTCAATGCTGCTGTGTTCCCCTACTATGACAGCAGCTGAAGCAGCAAGTATTATAAAGACACTAAGAAATAAGCTAAGACAACATGTGGTCATCTGAATCAGGAGTTTACTGAAGGTGGATGGGAGCTTCTCTACTGTGCTATTCATAGTCTTGTCATAAACAGCTAAGCTTCAGCTCTCTACCAGGAAAACAGAAGAGCGCTGCATGAACACAACAGCTAGTGTTGACTGTGGTCAGCCACACACAATGATCCAATGAAAATTCCAATGCTGCATTTGGCATATGTCAATTACAGTAAAGGTAGCCAGAATGATGGCATTTTTCCTGAGGTAAATCACTGCTCATATGTTAGGGAAGTCATATGACAGTGTGCAGGTTGCTCAATACTGCCTGTATGTACCAATTATGCATAGCAATGTACAGTAATGGTCATCCAGAAAGACACCAAAGAGGCATGTGACCTAGGAACTTCTTACCTGGATTAAAGCCCCACCATCTTCACTCAATTTATCATCATGCTTGAACTCCACAGTCACAGCTTTGTCACAATCTATTGCTGCCAGTTCAACATCTGTGGTATTGTTCATGTAAATAGATCCCAGGAAGTCTGTTGCTCTAAAACCTAAGAGATGATAAGTTATACAGTTAATAAAAGCCACCAGCACCATTTTTGCACTAGGTAAGATAGCTGGTCAATAGGACATAGTTCCCTATTCACCCACCCATGACAATCTGCATCCTCTTTAATGTGAGAAGCTGATTTGTTAAATAATAAATACTATAGTCACCTTACTTATAAGAAACATTAACCTGAAACCAGTGAAAAGTCCCATTATTCGTAGCTGAAGCAGCAATCAGAAAACTTACTTTCAAAAAGAAAAGTTTGAAATTAAGACTGATGATCATGACATTTTTTTCAAATGTTCCACTATAATTATGCCAACAATGATGGATTTATTCTGTGCTATGTAATTGAATGTTTCAGGAGGAAACCAGGGTGGTTTCTCATCTAAAAACCAAGCCAAATCCAGAATGCATTTGGAAAGATTTTACAGATTTTACATCGAGGTTTACTAATTCCCAATGCTTCACATTTTGTTCCAGGAAAAAAAAGACATATTAAAACTACCTGTTAAACCATGTAAAAACAAGCAAATAAAAATGTCTATAGTAATCATTATTACCTGTGCTAGTTCGAACTCTCATAATTGCATCAAAACCCACTTTTTTTTCTATATCCTTTCTCAGGTCATTAAGAAATTGATGGCTGTCAGAATGTATCTAAACAAAAACAAGAGATTGGGAAAAACTTTACTAAATAATGTCTACCGCTGGATGGCAGCAGCACAACATAAATTGTTTCAGGATATAAACTGTTAGGAATTAATAGCACTAAATCACTCCTAAATAAAGAATTTATTTAGTTAATACTTGCAGATCTTTCACATTCTCACATGGTCATGCAGACTAAGAGAAAAATCAGACTGCTTGTTATACATAGAAAAAATACAATATTAGTAAAGAAAACCTATTCTTTTAAAATATGTTTGAAAGTAACAGATATTTAGAAAATAGGTTATCTTTATCATTTAAAAAACAAGCCAACATTAGAGTAAGCATGTATTTATGTTAGAAGTTGGCTACATATTACATTCCCAGTTTAATAAAATAATTGTAAGATTTTCATAATCTTACAAGATTATGTTGTTCATTGTCATCATAAACCTAGAGAACGTGTAGGAATGCAAAAATAACAGTGTGATTTATAATTATTTAATATCAGAAAAAGGACTGAAATGCCACTAAACATAAATGGTTCCTGTGGGAGTCTAGCACTAATAAGCAGAGAGTGACATAATCCATATATTTCTTTATCCTATTTGGAATGGAGAAGAAAATCAGATTAAAATTTTAGTTCCAGTTGTATAAAAGGCTGCAAAACAAAGTTTTTTACTCATTGCTAAGAGAAATTCTTCTTTATTTGTTCCTATAAGTGCTCAAAATTCCTCATATTTTTCCACAGAACACTGTGAAATAGTTCGGGCAGTGACTATGTCCTGACAAATTTTCAACCCTAATCATCTGACTGCAGATGAACCTGAACCTTTATCTCTTTGGTCCCTATTCAACAACTTAATCACTGCATCACATTTTCAGAGGTCTTATCATAAGATTTTCCATTGCCCAAACACCACATTACTTTTATCCTATTGTAGGTGAGTTTCTAATCTATATGTCCCATAAGAGTTAGCTAAAATGGTCAGTGCTGAAAACTGCTGGAAATTAAATAATTCTGCAGCATCTTCATATAGAGGAATTTCACAGGAAATTGTTAGGCATTTGGGGGGAGGGGAATCCCTCCACTAAAAAGAATTTTTTGTCTTACAAGATTTACATTCTATAGGCCCTAAATCCTTGCCTTTTCAAATTAATATCCTGATGCCAGATTTATTATAGTTTTATTAGATAGCCCAGGTGCTACAATATACTTTGAATATACTTTGAATATAACCATACTGGAATCTATGTTTAATCTACAAGTAGTTAATTAATTTAGTTCAGTTAACTGGATGGAAGTTATCCCCTACAGTTGAAGAAATTCAGGGCAATGTGTGTGGGCTGAGATTGGGAGTGGGAAATGAAGGCTATTATCCGGTGGAATGCTTTCCAGAATATTTTAAAAAGGATTTTAGGATGTCCCCAGCATATTTCTGTACCTATTAAAGGTGGAAGTTGCATAACAGAGAATTCATTCTGCATTTATCAAAATTAGAAACTGATTCCCTATGTATAGATCACTGCTTTTGGGACTACTACATAAGCTTGCTGTTAGCAAATTGTCATCAGATTACACAATAGAACTTATGACTCTTTTATCTAACTATGTATGCATTTCAATTTATGCATACATGCATATACATACATACATACATACATACATACATACATACATACATACATACAT